GTCCAATAAACTATGCTTATTAATAAAATAAATATTTGGGTCAACTGAGCATTACAAATAATAATTAATAATTTAAAAGTAAATATTTACATCAGCTGAACAATTTCTTAAAATATAAATATAGAAATATGAATATGAGTAATTGTACGTGTGATACTGCGCAATGTATGGCGCAGTATTTTCACAAAATATAATAAAAATAGAAATGATATCATTTTCACGTGACTTCCGCAGTAGTTTGTTTTGGTTAGATCGGCAACGTGGGACCTCTCTATCGGTCCTTATTTTACTACTCACACTATCATTAAACAATTCCTTATACTAAACAATATCTTAGATTTTGCACTATGTATCCTGATCACATTTCTTAGTGGATGCCCTTCTAGCTGTTTTCCTCTTTACTACCAAGTCAGGTACATATCCAAAAACTATTAAATAAAATTCATTAATATTACCTCACTAAAAAAAAAGAAATAAAAATAATAAAGATAATAGATAAATATAAAATAAGAGAAAATTTATTATGCTTGGGATTAATGTGAATTCATTGTTAGAGATAGATTTATTATTATTACAAAAATATAAATTTGAAGGCTACAACAAGGGACAGGGACAAGGTTGAGGACAGTGTTAATATATACAAAGAAATAATAAAAAATAGTTAATTGCTGATAATAATAATATGAATAAAATATGTATTTTTTTTAAATGAAATTTTAAATAAATATTTAATACTTGATTCATTAATCTGTTAATGACTCATAAGATTTCTTTACTTTTTCATGAACCATTAACTTTTCTTTTGTGAAATTTAAAACTTGTAAAGATTACAACAATTTAGATCAAGACAAAGCAACATATGCTTGCCCTATTTACAAAAAAAAAATTTTATTTATTTACAGTGTGTAACAAAAATAATTGTAGAATAACAACAAAACTGGAATGAATGGGCAATAGCTTATTTTAATCACTATTACCTATAGATTTATTTTATTATAAATTAATATGGTATTCTTTCACCATTTTTTTCAATAATCAATTCACAACAATC